ATGTGTATGGGGTGAGCTATGTAATGATTGATGAATCCCTTAATTAACTCCCAACAAGTTAAGATTTATGGCCTCATATCTTTTTCTCCTGACACATCTGTGTTTGTCACTTTTGAAGACACGGATAAGCCATTTCTCCAAAAGCTTTTGTGGGTATCTGAAATGTTTCTGAGGTATTTTGCCTAATGTAACAAGATTAGAGTTTTATGACATAAAATTTATGAAATTTTATGGCGTGAGCAATCAAATTGGGATGGATGCTGGTTGTGTGCTAGAGGGCACTATCTCCTTGAATACTGGATACCATTTCAGATTTATTTTGCGTATACAATCATGTATGAAGTGAACCCAAACCAATGAACAAATGGAAGAGTAGTGGGGACACTTAAATGAGGTTCTGTTGAAAGTAATAATAATGAAAAAATAGAGCTGTGGAAAGATCACTTTTGTGAGGCAGTGAACTCAAGGGGGGAAAAAAACCCAAACAAAATAATGTTGTTTGGTAATTATTTAGGTGGAACCAATACTTGTAGATGGCACGAGGAAATAATTCATGTGGATGCAGTGCAGGTCTAACTCTCTCCAGTGGGGAAAATCCAGCCAGGCTGAAGTTGGTCCAAAAACACTGAGATCAATAGACACAGGGTATCAGTTTAAGACCACAAAGAGTCTGTTGTAAATTGAAGGGGAGTAAAAAAATACATGGAGAAGCTATTCTAAGATGAATTGCATCAAATATTTGTGGGATAAGAGGGAGCCAGAAGAGTGAGATTTTACTTCCCTGAAAAAAAATATTCTTGCTACCAGGAAAAGCATTTATTTAATGAAAATTTAACAAAAGGCATGCTTTTTACTACAGTTTCTGCATATTAAGAAGCCTTCCCCAAAACAGAAAAAAGAGTCCCTTTACAAGCAATAGGGTGATATTTGAATTCATCAGCAGAATTTAATCTTCAGTTCCATCCTAACCACTGATAAAAATCAAGTATGGGGATACGTTTCATAACTCTTGTGTCTCTACAGTGGTCTGAATACTGCCGGTGTCCCACTGTTTCTGAACTTTGCAGATTTCAGTTGTCTAAAAAATTACTATTTAGCTATTTATATTCAGTAGAAATGATTAATGCCAGTTCAAAATGCAACTCTCCTTGCAAGTCTTAAGTTGCAACAGATTGCATCTGCTGAGACACCCTTTAGATTCACTGTATTGCTACTTTTTTGAGATGTATCTTGGTTTTTTGTTGTTGTTTTTTGTTGTTTTTTTTTTTTAAATCCTATCCATAAATTGATGTTTGAGGAAATTGATGTAAACCTTCTTTCAGAGGGGTTTAATTGAAAACTGTTCTGAGTTTAAACGAGTTTGAGGAAAAGATCTTCAAGTCATGTAAATCGTAAACTGTCCTGTTATCAGTGAGGGTAGATCCAGGATGTTTGCAGTCCTTTGTTAAGATGAGGTAATTCCAGTCCTTTGTTAAGATGGGATAATTCCAGCCCTTCATTAGATGTAGATCTGTTTAAAAGAGCTCAGTTTCAGATAATGTTGTTACTCAGAATTCAGCTGTTTCCCTTTGTATATTTTTTATAATGGGAACTCCACTTGCATCTCGGATATAGAATCTGTTAAGATCTAGTGTTAGCTAAGTAGGAAGATGAAGATGTGTGAGAAGAGAATTCAAGGAGGGGGAGTGGTGAGCAGTGTGGGATCATTTCAGATTCATAAAAGGGACCAATAAAGCTGTAGAAATCATGAAAGCACCTATGAGTGAATTTACCATGTATCATGTTGTTTGCTGCTCGTGAACCTATCGGTGATTCGATCCTTTGCTACTATAGGCTTTGGTAGTTACTGTCCTTTCGGGAGGCATTTCCAAAAGTAGATAGGGATTTATTTATTTACTTGAATCTTCCATTTTCTTGTGGAAATTTCCCAGATGTTCATAAGGAGTAAGTATTTTCTGTGAAACTGTGATGTTTGTGTTTGATGTTAAAACGGATGATGAAATTTCCGAAAAGGCAGATTATGCCTAAGTCATGTTGGCTATGGACAGGGCTACCTGAAAACAAATTGCAGTCATCGTCTGAGCTGTGTGACCCTTACCTAGGGTTGTGCAAGGGTTTCTTTGAGCATTCTAGTTGCTTGGAAGACTAATGCAGATTAGATCAGTAACTTTGCCACCCAAGCTATTTTAGCAATTTCTTGGCCTTCTAGTGTTATGATGAGCACATGGCTTCTAATTTCAACTGGATCTTCGAAGAGCTGCATGAGGAAGAAAAAAGTTTCTTCTTCCCCCTGTAGTATCACTGCAGGTTAGCCTGCAGTCCAACCCAGAGGTTTTTGGTTTAGATCAAAACCATAATAATCTCTTGTTATTGCTAGTGCATAGAGGTGGTCACCTCTATTGCCTTCCTTGGCTGTCTTTATAAATTCCCTGCAGAAAATTATATCAGCCCTGTTGGGAACAGTGACAAGTAGAAGGCGATGATGATCTGCAGCACGCTAACTGAACACAGTAGAGGAAACCATTTATTCACTGGTAAAGTTAGCAGAAGAGCTTTACTTCAACATGCTAGTCAAACTCCTTATGAAGCAATGTGACAGAATCTGGGTTATTCTGGGTTAACAGCAGTAGGAGTTTTTAACACCACTTGGGTATAGAGCATATAATACAAATCATCAATGCAAAGGAAGGCATCCTCTCTATGTATTTTATTGTCAAAGTGAATTGTAGAGAGTTTTGTAGATGGTTTACAGTATTTTCAGTCCTCTTATTGAATATAAATGTCCTAAAGTATAGAATAGCACTGTGGAATAATTAACTAATGATTTTTATGTCCCTCCCTTTTTGTCAGCCAAAATTGAGACAACCATTTAGTGCTGATTTTCAGAAACGGAGATTTTGTAAAATCCCAAGCTTCTATTAAGGCAGCGTTGAAACGAGTATCCAAAATGTTACACTCGGAATCAATAGCAAATGTGTATCTTGGTGCGGTGCAATGCAGAATATGAATAATTCACATTAACTTTAGGAGAGAGTTGCATGGTTTCTGCGGAAGAAAAGCTTGGGATCTGTCACGTCAAACATAGCTGTAAAATGCTGAATTCAGTGGGCTAGTAGAAAACTGCCAGTAAGAGTCTATCTGGTGATCTCTGTCTTTATACATATGCTTTGCTGCAGACACGTAGGTGGGAAAGCCTGGAAGACAGAATTCAGGTAGGATGTATGAAGTGTTAGTCTGTTGGACTAAGTCAAACATTAATAGAAAATACAGATTGCTTCTCTATGTACAAGCAATAGGTGGTGTTCAGAACGGGCGATGTGCAGCTGAGTATAGGTTCTGGTAGGGATTTTTTTGTCAGAGGGTTTTTTTTTGTTGCTTTTTTGTTGCTTTTTTTGTTGTTGTGGTGTTTTGTTTTGTTGTTTTGGTTTTTTTTTTAATATAATCTAACTTGGCTCAGGAGGCAAAGCTCAAAATGAGATCATTAGAAACAAAATAAGTCCTAACAAAGGGCTGTTTAAAGTCACTGTTTGTTTTCAGACCCAGTTGACTGCTGCTAAGAACCATTTCGTGCTCAATATGCCAAATCGTATGGACATGCTCCACCTCACAGCAGCCCCACACATGGTTCAAGAGGCTGCTGGGCTTTTGAAATGCAGTCCTTTAACTGTGAAGTGGAAAATCAAAATGGGGTAATTAGAATCATAAATACTAGATTTTTGAGGAGAAACAGTATTCTTCAGCCTGTCTTTTCAACTTTTTACTTACAATAGTCTTCAGTTTCCTTGTTCATAACTCCCTATTTTCCATGAAATATTTAACCTTTTTTCTTTCTTTTCTTCTTTTGACGATGCCTGTAGGATTTCTTACTTCTCATTCTACTCCTTATTACAGATGCCCCTGCTTAGCACAGTGGCCCATTATGCCATCCATGCACATACCCTGATTTTCATGAACAATGTTGCTGTAATTAATCCCAGAAGTCGTCTGCATTTTAATACTTCAGTGGACCCCTTTATTTTGAAGACCAAGCCTGAAAGTGTTCTGGGTTCAGATTGTCCTGTAAGATTTTCAGTAGTGCCTGGTTTGGATGAAAACTGGATTTTCCGAAGACATAAGGATTCTTTTGGTCTGTCTAAAAGATGAAGATAGTTATGTGCTATCATAACAGTGTTATCAGACAGTGTCAAATAATTTGGAACATGGGCCCGAATTTTAAGTCAGAATTGGTGTGTGATTTTTACGTTGTGTGCTCTGTGTATCTTCCTTTTTTTATGTAGACATAGGTGCAAATTACATTTACATGTGTGTTTTCCTGATCTGGCTATAGGCAGGAAGTATAGGGTATCTTGATAGCAAATCTTTATTCACTTAGTACAACCCTGAATTTGTGTTGTCAAAAAGCTTAGATTGTTAATGTCCAAATGTTTAATTGCTTAGGTATCCCAGATCTACGAACCTGAAAAAATTCTTGCAACATGACTGTAACACTCTGTTGTTCACATCGGTGAAGTTTTATAAACACAGATGTTTTGGCTTGCTAGCAAGTTATTTTATTTTATTTCACTTCATTTTTTTATCAGTTATGGTTAAATACATGCGGATGATTATTCCTTAAAAGCTAAGTTGACAATAGCTTGTATCGGGAGACGTTCTATCTTCTTACAGTCTCTTGCAAATGCAAAACCAGATGGGTATTTTTTTAAAGGAATTGCATTTCATTATACAGTCTTCTTAGGTGAATTTTCATGTTTAAGAAGCCAGAATACAAGAGAGTGCTATATTAGTGTATTATTCTCACAACAAACAAGCCACTGTTCTGTTGCTACCTGCTTGGCCATTGTTCCCAATTGTGTATGCTTTGCAGTGGTATTTGGATGGTTTCCTGCTCTCTGCCAGCACAAAAAAGGCATTTCTGTTACAATGGCCCCTAACCACACAATGACGGCATTAAGGATTTATTTGGAGGTTTCATTATTTTCTCCTCTTTTGTTCCTTCCAGGATGTCTTCCAAGCGACCAGCCTCTCCGTATGGGGAAGCAGATGGAGAGGTAGCCATGGTGACAAGCAGACAGAAAGTGGGAGAAGAGGAGAGTGACGGGCTCCCAGCCTTTCACCTTCCCTTGCATGTGAGTTTTCCCAACAAGCCTCACTCTGAGGAATTTCAGCCAGTTTCTCTGCTGACGCAAGAGAACTGTGGCCATAGGACTCCCACTTCTCAGCACAACACAATGGTAGGTTTGCTAATGGTCTATTGTGCTTACATCCATTCTTTGAATTCTGCCTCTACAGTAGCTTGGCATCCAGATCTGTACTTTATGGAGTGTACAACGCACAGTTACACGTACAGAACATGCTACAATAATGTGAAAGCTTTGATCTAGCTGGACTGCCTTTGCCCTCCACTACAAATGCTAAATCACTTGCAGTGCAAACTCCACTTTTCCTCACCTTTGCCCGCTGGCATTTAGGGTGCTAAAATTTTTTAGCTACAGTGATGTGAATTTGAAGTGTATGTGCTCAGCAAACAGTAAATGGGTTTGGAACACTGTAAGTGAGAGTCATGTTTGGCATGGTGTCTGAAATATCACCCCAATGCCAAGTTTATGCAATAGTAAGGCACGAAAGTCTGTATAAAGGGTAAAAAAAGCAACTTTGGATTTTGCTGGTTTTAAAAATTCATATCTGATGCGTATTTCTCATGCCACAGATACCTACAAGAAAATTTGCTGTGCTGATGGAATTAAATCAGCCTACCGCTTTTTCACTTGTGAATTCCCACCTTTTTGTGCACTTTACAAGTGACACAGTGCACTTAATTCATTATGTTTAGCAGCCCACTGAAAGTCCAGAACTGGCTTTATCTAAAAGCAGGCAAACAAAAAGAACAAAAAGCAATGCCGTGTTCCTCAGTAGTATCGTAGTGTCACTATTGTACCGTGATGTGTTTGGGCCCTTCCTGCAGAGTACTGTGATACGTTTCTATAAAGATTGAAAGGTGCAGGGAAAGGCATCGAAACCCCAGGACTTAGGCACCTCGACAAAGCTGAGTATTGTGAAAACACTTACACAGCCCTTGCCTGTTTACAAATTGACTGTAACTTTTCTGTTAGTCCCCCACTTTGACAAGGGCAGTGACAATTTCACTTTAAGTGAAGATAATGAATGGACCTGCATATTTGAAGGCTTTTAAAAAGGCATTGCAAAATAGGTGATAGCGTACTCTCATAAAAGCCTGCAACAGCTCCACAGTGGTATTTAAGCCCTTACAGCTCATTATGCACATGTAACAAGCCCTAAGTAAAAAGCCTTAAAGATTATTATTTCTCATAGGACCAAGTCACTGGATATTCACTGATGCTGCTCTCCTCGACAAAATAACTCGCTGATCACAATCCATTTTTCTTCCTTTGTGGTCTAATGCTTAAATTCAAACAGGGGTTTGGGATATTTAATTTTACTTTGTTTTATTGCAACTTTAAATGAAGAAAGAATGTCATTGGAGAAATTTCTGATGGGCAGATGTGTCATTATCTTTTTATAGCTTGTTTACTTCTCATCCTTTACCATATGTTTTTATGGAGACGTAATTCTTTAATATACTGTTCCAGCCAATGGGATGTTAGGGTATGTAACTGGTGTATGAGCTTTGTTTTATTTTGGCCTATTTTAAGATAGTGTGTTGAAGATAAGGGGTTGTTCCTGACGACATTTAAGTCACTAGATAAACTTGTGGTGACACCAGTAGTGTAGAATAGTAGCGTACTGAAATAAAACATCATTGTCTTCTAAGGAACCCAGCATGAGTATTTTAACTACGCCTCACTGAAAAATTTAACTGCTCTTTAACTGATTTTAACAAATTTCTTTATTAATTTATAGTTTTTGAGACCAAAAAGTTTAGCTGATCATCCAGTGTGACTTCCTGCTATGAAGGTTGTATTTAATGTGATCTCAATACAGTGTGTTCTGTGTCTTTATAATACAAGATACAGAATTATTGCATGTTTTGGACAGTTTTGCTGTAGTACTGAGAAGCTGTAGGCTTACATGAAGCATGTTTGGGGGGTTGTAGGGACCAGTTTCGTCTTCATACATATTTAAGAAAATTGCCAGTTTGTATGAATCTGACATTTTTGTAATATCTGTCTTTTAGTGAGGAATGTCTTGTAAAAATCATCATCCAGGTAGGTCAGAAAGGATGTAGCCTGTGCGTCTCCAGAAAGAAAGAAGTGATCAGTGTAAGGGAGTAAAATATACATAATCACTCCCTCTGCTGTTGTGGTACATAGTTATAAGAAGGAAGTAACTGAACCTAATGCTTGGATAACTTTTAGATGACTTCAGTTTGGGTGATTAGCAGTTACACAAGTCACTCCCAGAGAGTATTCACTTCGGCAGCATTACAGAGGTCATTTTAATGCTATTTGAATTGACATTCTGTGCTATTTTATAGTCTCTGGGAAGCAAATCCAGGTGTATGCACATGTACACACATCGCCACAGTGCGGTCCAATACAGTTTTATTGATAGAGCTCCAGCAGTGTGCCTCACACTTCTTAATAGCTTGTCAGCTATACTACTACACCTACTAACTGAGCCTGCAAGTGACTATGGAGTTCTCGTTTTGCAGCCACATGCTGTCCTTAGCAGGGTACACCTTTACAGATCTCTCCAGTGCCCGATAACACAGGGTCAGACGTACAGCCAGTCTGAAATCATGTAGTTCATCACTCTGGTGCACCCCTCTAAACCATACTGCTTTGTGCATGATTGTTGGCTAAGACTCTTCTCTGAAGGGATTCTTAGATAGACATGGTATAGATCCAGAGAGATCTTTCTGTGTTGGCTTCCATGTACGATACCCATTTGGCTTAGAGAACAATCTCAATGGAAGAAAAACGCAGCCAGGGGGACTGGAAAAGGTATGGAATTGCACAGCTTTGTCTCATCAGTAGGCTGCGTAACTGAATTCCTCTTGTTACCACAGCCATCCCTGTCTCCTTGTATTCTGCCTCAGCACTGCATCGTGAAGGGACTGTTGGGAAAAGTATTTCAACCTTGAGAATCAATTTCTTGGCCTCGCTTTTCTAGCTGCTAATTTACCCTCTGTTTCATAGGTTACTTCCAGCTGTGCTTCCTTTTACAAGTCCCGCCAGCAGGGACATCTTAGGATCCTTAAGGTAAAGGGCTGATTGCAACAGAGTGATACTCAACAGTTTACCCAACTTAAACTTTTGAAAATTTACCCTGTTGCACTTCGTGAAGTTGTAACTACTGCTAACTTAGAGATGGAGCTCGGAATGCTGGGTAATTTTTTTATAAAAGGAGGGCAAAATCCCTAGAAAGAAATCTTCAAACCTAACCAAAATTGGCAAAAAGGTTGCAAACCTCATCTTCCCATCAAAATGAACAGGGTATTTCTGAGGATGCTGGAACTGCAGCCAGAGAAAGGTTAGTGCAATGGGCACAAACTGAAACGCCGAAGGCTCCGTCAGAGCATCAGGAAATGCTTTTTGACTGTGTGGATGACTGAGCATGGGAAAAGGTTGCTCAGGGAGGTTGTGGAGTCTCCATCCTTGGATACTCAAACGCCCTCTGGACACAGTCCTGGGCAACCGGCTCTAGGTGGCTCTGCATGAGCAGGGAGTTGGACTAGATGACCTCCAGAGGTCCATTCCAACCTCAACTGTTCCATGGTTTTGTGAAAGGCAGGGATAACTCTATCCCAGATTCTCTTCCTCTTGATAGAAGAAACTAGATACTTATTGTAAGTAGGAAAGCACTTCCAGTGATAAGAAAAGAAACAATAATTTTTCGGACTTAAACCAAAAGCGCAGAAGAAAATACAAGACAAGTCATTGGACTTAGAATATATCTGAGGGTCCCCTTAGGACGTTCGTAGTAGGCCATAAGCTTAGTGGGGAAACACTTGAGGATTACAGTATCAGTATCCTTTGAAGAAACCTATTAAGGCTACAGTATTTGGATAGCGCAGATAGTTGTTAGCTCATCTAAGTTACAAGGCTTTATTTATTTCTATTTGTCTGCCTTATCGTGTTGATTTTGCTACCTCTCAGGACTACTGATCTCACCACCAGTGTCTGCGTGCTAGTTTCTGAAAATAACAGATGTCAAGGCTAAAAGCACTGATTAAAGTATACCTCAGGCATGGTATACTGTGGTCAAATTCCACCATTCTTCTTAACTGTAGAATATCAATCACATGCTGGATGAGATATTAAAAAAAAAAAAAAAGAAATTCTGACCAAAAGGTTAAACTGGTAAGGTGTAACTTTGCCATTGTCTAGTTGTTCCAAATTGCATGACTGCACTGCTAGCCCACGTTTGTCCTGCACTTTCAGTGGGATTTAGAATTCATTTTCAGCAGTGCTTTAAATTGATAGGAAATATTACAGTGCACCGTTAAGTTGCTTTATTGCTTCACACTAAAAAATGTTGCATTTCTGTGGTGAATGAAGTTATTCCTCTGTAACTTGGGAATAATATTAAGAAATTTTTTGTCATATTAAGAATAACAGCACTACTGGTCAAAGAGCTTACTGACACATTGCTTCATGCTTTTCCTGCTCTTGTCCAAAATAAAAGGTTGTTTTATGCTGTATTTGAATTCTTTTATCACGTACATCCTGGCCCGCACTTCACCTGTTGGTCTGTGGTCGTCAGCATGTGAATAGTATTGGATCAGAACAACATGCGGCTAGAGGACTTAGCTACTATTCAGAAGTTGTGAAGAGAATGGAAATCTGAATGCATATAGCTTTTTAAAAAGTCAAATAGGACTCTAATTATACTGAGCTAAAGAATGCCTATTAAAAAAAAAACCCAACACAGTGGTTTTAGAGAAATTTTAATTTCCAGTGTACCTTTGTGCATCAAGCTTAGGATAAGTTATTGTGATGGTACAATGCACAGTGTTGTGAACACCAGTGCCGTTATTGTGCCAGCTCTAATAATGAGAATTTCATTGTTTGGGGAGAGCAGTCTCCTACACTCTAGACAAAAGTGTAATTACTTTTGAACGATGTGGAATGTGCTCAGTTTAATAGCACAGAGAATAGATTCACAAAGATTCAGATAAAGCTAGCTTGGAAGCCATATGTGCAATGTGGCAGTATGAAATTGTTAGCAGGCACCATAATTACAACACACACACACATACACACACACACAATTTCACAGTTTAAACTATAAACTGTTGTTTTTGTAAGAG